GAGAGAGAGAGAGAGAGAGACAGAGAGACAGAGAGAGAAAAGCGGGAAGCCAGCCAGTAATACATACCGATTGCAGAGCCCCCGACAGGAGAAGGTTCGCGGGAGGGCGGATCCCGCATCGTTGGGCGCCGGCGAGTGGGCCGGGCCACGTAGGCCACTGCCCTGGTGGCAGAGGGTGTCCTGGGCGGTGACATTGCCACAGTAGCAAGTGCTCGGCGTGGGAACCATGCACGGAGGACACGGGCCCTCATGGCAGGGGGTTTGGCAGAGGTGTGGCTCCGGGGCCGTGCCGGTGGCCCCCGGGCGGGAGCGATTGCCCGGGCAGGAGAGCACCCGGCCGCAAGGATTCTCGCAGGACCACCGCAGGGCGCGAAGCTGGCTGCCGACAGACGCGCGTCCGGAACACACGCCCGGGCTGGCATGGCGCTCGCAATGGCAAGGGCTCGTCGGCAGCGGAGCCTCACAGGGGGGGCACTGGCCCGGGTGACAGGCCAGCGGACAGGGATGCCCGCAGGGACGCGGCCGACTACAGCGCTGCTGACAGCTCTGCGGCACTGGCCGCCGGCCGGATCGCGCCCGGGACACATTTCCACAGAAGCAGGACACCGTGCTCGGGATCTTGACGGCCTGCGGCTCCAGGCAGCTGGGGCACTTCCAGTAGAAGGTCCGCCGAGGCCGGGCGCCGGGGGTACTGGCCTCCTGCTCTGCGGGTCCGACGGCAAGAAGGGAGGAGGCAATGCAAAAGGAAAGGCCCCGGGTAAGATGGCGGCGAGGGGAGAGGAAGGAGGGGGCAGGACAATGGAGAGAGAGAGAGAGAGAGTGCGAAGGAGGAGACCGCCTGCAACGCACCCTGGTGAAGGTCAATCTGAGCTCGAGCCCAGGCGACGGCACACTCGAAATGCAGGAGGTTGAAGCAGGAGATCGAGTCCATCCAGATGTCCGAGCTCGGGCTGATCGGCTCATAGCAAACCGGGCAGCTGAGGGTCTCGTCGAGCAGCGACTGGCGGAGCTCCTTGACCCGCTCGGGCACCGGTCCGGAGTCGGTCCACTTGGCCACCGGAACAGCCTTCCGCGGGGTGGGGCTGGGGCTGGGGCTGGGATAGGGGCTCGGGTCGGTGCTGGACGGGCTGTCCTCCTGGCCGAGGGTGGTGCCGGTTGAGGGGCGATGGCCGAGGCTGCTGGCCAGATCCCGGGGGACCGGCAAAAGGCGAGCACCGCGAGGAGGGCGCCCAGAGCGCCCGGGCCCGCGCGAGGCCGTTCCCTCGGTGCCGGCTTCCGGGTCGACAATGGTCGTGTCGGCGCTCGAGGCGCCAGAACGGGAGCGCCGGGAGGGGCGCGATGTTTGGCCGCCGCGACGAGGGCCGGCCGCCGGGCTGGCGGGCTGCTCGAGGCTGACGGGGTCAGCCGGCTCGGCGGTCGTGGCGCCGGGCTCGGGCTTCTTGCGCCGGGGGCCGGCACGGGGCCGGGGGCCGGCGCGCGGCGCGGCACCCTCGGCGTTGCTTGCGTCGAGGGTGGGGGGGGAGGCATTCGGGGCGTCCTGCTGGCCGGGGTTGGCGGCGGCAGCGGCGGCACCCGAGTTACGGGGCTTGCGGGTGCGGCTGCGCGTGGGGGCGCGGCCGGCCGACTGGCCGGTGTTTAGGTCGTGCGCATCATGGTTGCCCGAAGGACGAGAAGCGGCAGCGGCGTCTGGGGGGGGATGCTCTCTGGGTTGCCTTGGGGGATGATGGTGTGACTCTTCTTGCATGAGATGAGCGGTGACGGGGGCGGCGCGATCGGGAGTGCGGGAGGAAGCGAGCAGTATCAATCCGGGAGGGGGGGGGGGGAGAGGGATCCGAGGTAGGCCGGTCGGTGGGGGACGATGGTTGAACAATGCCAACGCTTATATACGGCGACCGGGCCGCCGGCGGGGGCCCCGCCCCCCGAGATAAGCGCGGCCCGGGGGGGGGGGGGGGCGGCCATGGACTCGCATGGGTCGCCGGCCCTCGGGACGCACACACGCGCCCGCGTCCACCGGCTCGATATCGGCCGGCGCCGGGCCCCATGCGCGGGGAGGGCCGCACGGGCCAGGGGGGGGGCAGGGGCGGCGGCCGGCGGGGCGGCCGGCGTTCTTGCGCAACGCCCGCGTGAACCGCCCCGGCTGCCAATGCTTCAGTCGACTTGGCTGCCAGCCAGGGGGGGCGGCCGGGAGCGGCTGCGGATCGACGCTAGAGCGGGGGCGGGG